GTGAGAAAGTCCCTCGTGGGTAACAACTTGCCGTCCTCCCAGTTCAGCGCAGTCTCTTCCCTGCCACACAGAGTTAGGATAAAGGTGATCTGTATGAGTGTTTTGGAAACTTGAAATCACAAGATAAAGGAAAATTTGTCATGCTGTCATCTTTTCATTGGCACATTTTGCTCCTGTTCTGCTAGAAGGTGAGTGTCTCGCATGAATGTCAGCTCTTGGCAAGTGTCAGCTGCATCACTGGCACTAGCTGGTTGTGCTGCTGTCTGAGGTTACAGAGCCAGGGATAGAAAAAAGCTCTTGGCCACCTTCAGGCTCCAGGGCACCAGCACTGTCACCTGGGAGATAACAGCCCCATTCTTCCCTTTGCGTTTCCACACTTCAATAGCAGTAAGCAGTAAGTTTCCTTAGGAGAGCGAATCTGTTTTGTCGGTAATAATTCAGTCTTTAACACATGAAACACACTAGCCCAACAATCCACTCAGCACTTGAAAGAGACTTATTTAGCTTTTGCTTTGACATACCCATTCCAAGCTTTAGTTTGCTCTGTTTCCAGACCTTTTGTCCTCCAACCATTTTAACTAATGTGCAAACATATTCTCAAACGGCCTCCGAAACAGATTATTACCAACAGACTGGAGAATGACGCAAATGTAGCCCATCTACATAAGTGAAACAAGTTTAGCCAAAGGGATCACTTGTGTGGCTTAAATCATGGAGATGGGCTATATCCACAGGGCTGAATTCATAATTGCAGGCTTTAACAATTTACCCCAGTTCTTTTTTGACCCAGGCTTTGGGTGGCTCCAATCTTTTCACTTCAAGAACTCCCCACCCCCACTGCACACATACACACAGATGGCAAAGCCAACACAGCTCACGTCCTTCTTTGGTGGTCTCCACTGGCACACAAGTCCATTGGCATAATTTTGAGAACACCAAAGATGATTCAGCTAGCTCCACATGTACTTTTTATGAGAAATGAGTCAATAAGTTGTTTCTCTGCACACTCCCCCAGAGAAAGAACCTAGAGCACAGGGAGCTGTAATATTAGATTAGTAACTCCACAACAGATGACAGGTGAGAAGACAGCATGTGGTAAATAGGAAGCCACTAAGCCATTAATCAGAATTCTCCAACCCAGGGGGTTTTCCCTCAGCCTGATCCAGGTTCAGAAGATGGGGTGCCCTTCATGGGCTCTCCAACATCCTCTAACCAACATCAGCCATTCATTCCCACTAATTTAATGGTGTTGTTTCACTAAAGGACTATGCCTGGGAAACTGTGCTGGGTCTGTCCCTTGGCAAGCATCTTCAACTGCTCATGTCATCCCCAACACAGATGCCTTGGGGAGAATGTAGCTGCCCACCTCCATCTACCCCAACCAGACCCTGTGTCCAACTTCTCCACCACACTCAGACAAGCCAAGGAGTGAGCCACACACGTCAGAAGCTTCCTGGTCAGTTTTGACTCAACTGTCCGTTAAAGTGTTTTGTTCCTATTTTATAAATATCTGATGCTATTCGGAATAGAGAAGTCAGAAGGGAACTCATTATTACTGTGATTATATGCTATGTTATTCGATCTTGAGAGAGTCATTTCCCCTCTGAGTCTTTTTTCTTACTTGTGAATTAAGAAGGTTGAACTATAAGACCCCCATGGTCCTGTCAGGCTGTGACCTCAAGTGGGTCTACTTATTACCTGCTAAATGGTCCCAACCCCCACCTTGTTTTCCTCCCACCCCAATTACAAGAAAGAGGTCAGGGTGCTAGGCCTCTTGTTCTTACAGTACGCTTCTGGAGGTGAGACTAATGCAGATGAGATTTAGCATTCACCAGACTTTAGCTCTTGGAGCTGGCAGGAAACTCAAATAATCCATCACCCAAAAGCTATGCAGTAAGGCAGGTATAGCAGTATTATCCCCCAAGACGTACATAGGAAAACCATGATCCAGAAAGGCTAAATGATATGCACAAGGATCCCAGCTGTTTTAACAGGTGATACCAAGAGAACTAAAAGCCAAATCTTCCCATTCCTCACACTGCTCTCCCTCCACACCACCAGAGTTGTTATGAAAGGGCATTATTTGAGGTGTTAGCCAAAGCTTTAAAAGAAATTACCAAATATAAAATGATGTCTTACAGAAGAAAACAATAGCTGTAGCCCTTAATATTTATACTATTATTTATGACCCAGAGGTGATAGTAAGAGGTTTGATACTAAGCCCTTTACCAATGAGAAAGTTACAGATAACTGACATTTTTCCTACTAACCAATCTATTTCATGAATCCATAAATCAGAAACCACCAATGGGGTATTTATAAATAACGGCAAAGGAGTTCCAACCCAACATATTCAGTTGGTTTGGAACTCCTTCCCAGGGGAGAAGAACTCTGCTCTGTTAACCTACCAGGTGACTGACACATTTTACATATGTGTTTATAGTTCTGCCAATTTTTGATAAGAATCTGTGGAAGCTGGAAAACTGTTCTATTTATCTGCAAAATTTCAGTGCCATTACTCTAAATAGAAAATGGTTTATTTTAAAAACCAGTGTGTTTTTAAAGCTAAATTTCACTTTCCCCATATGTGTTTAAGAAGCTCTTTTAGGTTCAAATAATTTATTTGAATTATCTAAGCCAAAATGATCATATTTTCCTAAGAAAAAATTTTCTAAAAATGTGCTCACAGAGAAAAATATTCCCAACATGTACTAAAATTCTCATTTGTGGGCCAGGAGTGGTGGCTCATACCTGTAATCTTAGCACTTTGGGAGGCCGAGGCGGGTGGATCACTTGAGGTCAGGAGTTCAAGACCAGCCTGGCCAACATGGTGAAACCCCACCTCTACTAAAAATACAAGAAATAGCTGGGCAGTAGCACGTGCCTGTAATCCCAGCTACTCGGGAGGCTGAGGCAGGAGAATTGCTTGAACCCGAGAGAAGGAGGTCGTGGTGAGCTGAGATCGTGCCACTACATTCCGGCCTGGGTGACAGAGCAAGACTTTGTCTCAAAAAAAAAAAAAAATTCTCATTTAAGAACCCCAACATTCATGTTAGGTATGATTCTGCTCTTGTAAATGATCAGTCTTGACTCATTTCATCCCCCTACAAAATTCACACAAGCCACCCCAGAGAATTAGTCTTTGGGATTTTAAAGTATTTGAAAACCCACCACACAGATACAAGCATGGGTTGTTGTGAATCTAGAGCATCTGAGTATCCAAATTCTCTCCTTCCAGCTCTACATTGGCAGCATTTTGTAGCAAGAGCTACACTGGAATGAGAAGCTCACTGGAAAGAGAAGTGGTAGCAGTTCTGTTTTCCCAGAGAAAAGGCTGCTGTCCCACTGCTGGTACTGATCTGAAGGCACAAAGGCATCATTATACCACCAGTAAGACATGGAGTCTTGACATCCCGGGAGGATGACCTGGATGTCCCAGGTCTTGACATCCCGGGAGGGAGCAGGCTGTTCCTTTTAACGTTCTCAAGCCTGAGTCCTATGAGCCCGTTAGTTCTAAAATGTGTCTTGCACCTCAACTTAGTTTCCAGGTGGCTTCCTAGATTACCCACACAACCCAGCCAGACTGAGACCTTGGGAGCCTCTGTAATCTGAAGCAATGAGGGCCCAGCTGATCAGGGCTGGAGACTTGCCAAATGAACTGCCTTATCTTAATCCATCTGGAATGTCAACTAGGAGTAAGAAAAAGGAAGGACAATTCCCACAGAACACAAACTAGGTAAGAATCTGACATTTTTCTTTGCAATGACTTGACATCCTCACTTTTTCAAAGAAAATCACCTTAATGAGTCCAGTGGCCCTTCCTGCTACCACATGGCCCAGGCACTCATTCAGAAAATGACTTAGAGCATGTCCTAATTCCAACACATTTACAGAGAATTTAGCTTCCTTTAATTTCATCCATTGCCTGCAGGACTAACAATTGAAAACAGTTGCTATAGTTTGAATGTTTGTCTCCTCCAAATCTCATGTTGAAATTTGATCCCCAGTGTTGGAAATAGGGCCTAATGGGAGGTGTTTGGGTCATGGGGGTGGATCCCTCTTGAATAGATTAATGTCCTCTCTGGGGGAAGTGGGGTGGTAAGTGGATTCTTACTCCATTAGTTCCCACAAAAGCAGGTTGTTACAAAGAGCCTGGCACCTCCTCTTCCTGTCTCTCACTTCCTCTCTCACCACCTGATCTCTGGACAAGCTGGCTCCCCCCTTCACCTTCTACCATGAGTGACCCGGTCCGAAATCTTCCAGCCATCAGAATTTTGATTTTTCTTTGTAAGTTACCCTGCCTCAGGTATTTCTCTATAGCAACACAAAATGGACTGAAACAGCAGTGTAATCCAAAACAATACTGCTCCTCTTAACCACAAGCTGGTGCCTGACTACCTCAGTACATGGTTGCCTCCAAATTCATTTTAGCGAAGAAGTAACTCATCTCAAAATTTAACAGAAAAAAGGAAAAGCAAACTTTCAGGAAAATGGTATTCCTATTACCAGGAGTTAATTGGCTATGAAACAGCCAAAAGTCAGCAGCAGATAAAAGAAAAGTCTGCATAATTAGAATAACCAATAGGTAGACATTTAGCAACTATATACTCAATAGAAGACTTGCCAGTGCAGTGGCCATGCATGCCTGCTGCTGCAGGCCCACCATTCCTGAACCAGTGGCTTACATTCCACGTGGAGTAGGAGTAAGCCTTTGGTCTCTTCCACACCCATTCACCGTCATGCAGGGCCTCCAAACCGCCAAAGGATGGGAACAGCAGGCAAGGGTATCTATCAAGCATGCTCCCCCTGTTCTACACATCAGTCATGCTATTTCCCACCCATTTATTCTTCTGTTGACCACCCACATTTAATTCAGTTTTAAAGACATGACAACAAGGTCTGAGATTTGAGGGATGTACCTGACTCTCTCTCCCCTCCAGTGGTGGTGGAATCTGATCAGCAAAACCAATCTTCCCTGGATCACCCATAAAGGCACTAACCTCATCCACGTTCTCAAAAGCGTTGATGACATCATATGGCAAACAGGACAGAAGGTCAATCACAAACCACGTCTTCAGGTAGTTCATGCGGATAAGTTTGGGGTCAGAAATCACCTCCCCTGCTGGTCCAACAAAGGTGGTATGAAAATTGAGCACAATGTCCACCAGAAAGATAACATCCACGATGCTATCAACAACCAGCCAGGCCACATTGTTCTGCCTGGTTTTGAAGGAGACATTATAAGGGACCAAGATGGCTGTATAGAAGGTCAAGATCAAGATGATCCAATCCCACGTGGTCTTAAAAACACAGTAATGTAAGATGATGTGAGGGGGAGTCTTTGGTGCCTCTTGCTTGTACTGGGGAAGGATGTCTGAGCCCAGCTGTAGGACCTGTACAGAAAAACATGACCAAGAGAGAACTAAGTTAGGATTTAATTGCAAGTATCTAACCAGTCAGCATCTGTGATTGACAAATGGTCACAACACTCTAGATAAATCGTTTGGGTACAATAACAGGTATAAATGAATATGGGAAAATGAAAGTGAACATTATAATAGAAATAATTATAAAGAAACAATTACAAACTACTATTTGGCTGTGAGCCAAGTGTTATACTAAACACTTTACACACATTTATTATCTCAATTCTAAATACACCTTTGTTCTATTAGCCAATTATTATTCCATAAGTTAGAAACTGGGGCTCAAAATGATTACGCAACTTTTTGTTCAATAAATATTAATTGCTCTGATTTCATCCAACAGTGGCAGAATGCACATTCTTCTCATCAGCACATGGAACATTCTCCAGGAAGACTATATGTGAGATGACAAAACAAGTGTTAACAAGTTTTTAAAAATCAAATTCATATCAAGAATCTTTCCTGACCACAGTGAAAGTAAACTAGAAATTGAAACATGTGGAACTTGGGAAACTTTATGAATACATGGAAGTTAAACATGCTCCTGAATGACCAGTGGGTCAATAGAGACATTAAGAAAGAAATTTTAAAGCGTCTTAAAACAAATGAAAACATAACAAAAACCTATGGGATACAGCAAAAGCAATACTAAGAGGGAAGGTTATAGCAATAAATGCCCACATCAAAGAAGTTAAAAGATTTTAAATAAACAACCTAACAACGCACCTCAAGGAACTAGAAAAGCAAGAACAAACCAAATCCAAAATTAGAAGAAGGAAAGATATAAAATAAGAACTAAATTAAATAAAATTGAGACAAAAAATACAAAAAAGCAATGAAATGACAAGCTGGGTTTTTAAAAACCTAAGTTAAAAAAACCCAAACCTTTAACCAAGAAAAGAAACCCCCAATAAAATTCAAGATGAAAAAGGAAATATTACAAGAAACAGGAAACAAATACAAAGGATCATTAGAAGCTACTATGAATAATCATATGCCAACAAATTGGAAAACCTAGAGGAAATGGATAAATTCCTGGACACATACAATCTACCAAGATTGAAACAGGAAGAAATGTTAAACTCTAACAAGCCAATAACAAGAAATACGATTAATTGAATCAGTAATTTAAAAAATCTCCCAACAAAGAAAAGCCCAGGACCAGATGGCTTCAATGCTGAATGTTACCAAAGTTTTAAAGAAGAATTAGTACCAGCTATTCTCAAACTATTTTTAAAAATTGAAGGAGAGGGCATTCTTCCAAACTCAATCTATGAGGCCAGCATTACCCTGATACCAAAACCAGACAAGGGCAAATCGAAAGAAGAAAACTACAAGCAAATATTCCTAATGAACCTACATACAAAATCCTCAACAAAACACTAGCAAACTGAATCCAACAGAACATCAAAAAAAAAATGGTGTACACTATAATAAACTGGAATTTATCCAGAGATGCGAGAATGACTCAACACATGCAAATTAACAAACATGGTACATCACATCAGCAGTACGGGGAAAAAATTATTATCTCAATAGATGCAGAAAAAGCATTTGATAAAATTCAATATCCCTTCAAGATTTAAAAAAAAAAAAACTCTCAACAAATTAGGTATAGAAGAAAGGTACTCAAATGCCTTATATTCGCAGCAAGCTGCATGAGATTGGAGACTATGATTGTAAGTGAAGTAACCCAGAAATGGAAAACCAAACATCGTATATTCTCACTCATGAGTGGGGGCTAAGCTAGGAGGATGCAAAGCCATATGAATGACACAACAGACTTAGGGGACTCAGGAGGAAAGGATAGGAAGGGGGTGAGGGATAAAAGACTACAAATTGGGTTCAGTGTATGCTGCTTGGGTGATGGGTGCACCAAAATCTCACAAATCACCACTAAAGAACTTATTCATATAACCAAACACCTACCTGTTCCTCAGTAACCCATGGAAATAAAAAAAAAATAAAAATATAAAAAGACGTTACAGGACAAACCCACAGCTAACATCATACTGAATAAGAAAAAGTTGAAAGCCTTCCCTTTAAGATCAGGAACAAGACAAGAATGCCCATTTTCACCACTGTTATTCAACATAGCACTGAAAGTCCCAGACAGAACAATTAGGCAAGAGAAAGAAATAAAAGGCATCCAAATTGAAGCAGAGGAAATCAAACTGTCCCTGTTTACAGACATAATCATATATTTAGAGAAACATAGACTACACACACACACACACAAAACCTGTTAGAACTGGTAAACAAATTCACTGAAGTTGCAGGATACAAAAATCAACATACAAAAGTCCGTAGCATTTCCACACACCAACAGCAAACAATCTGAAAATGAAATCAAAGGAGCAATTCCATTATCAATAGCTACAAAAAAAATTAAGTGTCTGGGAATAAATTTAACCAAAGAGAAGAAAAATCTCTACAAATAAAGCTATGAAACACTGAGACAAGAAATTGAAGAGGACACAAAAAAATAGAAAAGTATTCCATGGATTAGGAGAATATTATTACAATGTCTAATTACCCAAAGCAATCTACAGATTCAATGCAATCCCTATTAAATTACCAATGACACTCTTCACAGAAGTAGAACAACTTAATCCTAAAATTTACATGGAATCACAGAAGACCCAGAACAGCAAAAGCTATCCTGAGCCAAAAGAACAAAACTAGAGGAATCACATTATCTGACTTCAAATTATACTACAGAGTTAAAGTAACCAAAACAACAGGGTAGTTGCATAAAAACAGACACCTAGACCAATGAAACAGATAGAGAACCCAGAAGTAAATCCATGTATCTACAATGAACTCATTTTCAACAAAGGTGCCAAGAACATACATTGAGAAAAGGACAGTCTCTTCAACAAATGGTGCTGGGCAAACTGGATATCCATATGCAGAAGAATGAAATTAGAACCCTATCTCTTCTCATATTCAAAAATCAAGTCACACTGGGTTAAAAATTTAAATCTAAGACTTCAAACTATGAAATCACTAAATAAAACTTCAGGGAAACTCTCCATGTTGCTGGACTGGGCAAAGATTTTTAAGGTAAACCTCAAAAGTACTGGCAACCAAGGCAAAAATAGCCAAATAGGATTATATCAAGCTGAAAAGCTTCTGCACAGCAAAGGAAACAATCAACAGAATGAAAAGACAACCTACAGAATGGGAGAAAATATCTGCAAACTATTCATCTAACAAGGGATTTCTAGAATATACAAGGAATTCAACTCAACAGCAAAAATTGAATAATGTGATTTAAAAATGAGGAAGTAATCTGAATAGCTATTTATCAAAAGAACACATACAAATAAATGGCCAACAGGGATATGAAAAAATGCTCAACATTACTAATCATCAGGAAAATGCAAATCAAAATGCAATGAAATATAATCTTATCCCAGTTAAAATGGCTATTATCAAAAAGACACATATACACAAAAAAATTTTGATGGGCTGGGCGTGGTGGCTCACGCCTGTAATCCTAGCACTTTGGAAGGCCAAGGTGGGTGGATCATCTTAGGTCAGGAGTTCGAGATCAGCCTGGCCAACGTGGTAAAACCCATCTCTACTAAAAATACAAAATTAGCCGGGCATGGTGGCATGCACCTGTAATCCCAGCTACTCTGGAGGCTGAGGCAGGAGAAACACTTGAACCCGGGAGACAGAGGCTGTAGTGGGCCAAAATCATGCCACTGCACTCCAGCCTGGGCAACAGAGCAAGCCTCTATCTCTATAGAAATAAAAAATAAAAAATAAATACTGGTGAGGATCCAGATGAAGGGAAATTATTATATACTTTTGGTGGGGATGTAAATTAATACAGTCATTATGCAAAACATATTGAGGTTCCTTGAATAAAAACAGAACTACCATATGCAGCAGCAATCCCATTGGTGGGTATATATCCAAAGGAAAGGAAAATGGTATGTCAAAGAGCTTTTGGCACTCCCATATTTATTGCAGCATTATTCACAGTAGCCAAGATACGGAATCAACCTAACTGTCCACTGACAGATGAATGGATAAACAAAATATGAATGGATATATATACCCAATAGAATATCATTTTGCCGTAAAAAAAGAATGAAATCCTGTCATTTGCAGCAACATGGATAACCCTGGAGGATATTACGTTAAATGAAATAAGCCAGGCACAGAAAGACAAATACCACATGTTCCACTCATATATGAAAGCTAAAAAAGCTGGCCTCCTAGAAGTAGAGAGTAGAATAGTGGTTACCAGAGGCTGAGAATGGTACCAGAAGAGAGTGTGATAGGGAAGCGTTGGTTAATTGATACAAAATTTCAGCTAGAGTAAAAAAAAACAGATTAAGTATTTAAGGTGATGGATATCCCGACTACCCTGATTTGATTATATAAATTTATCAACCTATCACATGTACCCCCAAAATAAGTATATCCAAAGTGTATCAATAAAAGTTTTTTTAAATTAGTATTTGATAGGAGAAATAAGTGTTCTATAGCACAGTAGAGTGAATAGAATAATAATTTACTATATTTCAAAATAACTAGAAGAGAGGATCTTGAATGTTTCTAGCACAAAGAAATGAAAAATGTTTGAGGTGATGGAGACCTCAATCACCCCAATTTGATCATTACATACTGCACACATGTATCAAAATATCATGTGTACTCCATAAACATACATAATTATGTATCAATTAAAATTTTTAAATATATTTATTGCTCTGTGCCTGGAACTGTTCTAGGTACTGGACGTGCAGCAATGAAGGAAACAGCATGATGCCTGCTCTCGTGGAGCTCAGTCTAGGAGACAAATCAAAATCATTTCAAATTGTGATAACCACTAAATAACACTGGGGCAAGCAGAACACTGTGATTTGATAAAATGTGACTTGAGTAAGGGAGGGAAAGTGTTTGAATTGAAACCTAAGTGACAATAAAGAACCAGTCATTTAAGTTTG